ATGTATGTATGTATGTATATGTATAATCAGAAGCGTGTATTCCTGTTTCTATAGCATCCATATGTAACTAATTTAATTTCTTCTAAAAGCTAACGAACCGGTATGTAAAATAACCTACCCAGTAATACCAGCTTATACTGGCTGACATTGTTCGGCGACGACATGCTTTCTTTAGCTATTTACGTAACCTGGGGCGATGATTTCTGCAAATCGCTACAAGTACCAATATATAGAAGATCAGCTGTTAGAGTCTGTTGTTATATGATAAATAGTCAGTGTTGGACGTTGTCTGTTTTTTCAACCAGCACAAAGAAGATATATTAATTTTAAATGTACTAAGTATGCGTATAAAGCAGCTAGAACTACCCCAAGAGGAAGTGTATTGTACTATATTTTTTTATATTTGTTCTGATTTGCCCTCAATGATGATTGATGAATAGTTGAATACAGGCTGCGTCGCTGCGTCGCTGCGTCGCTGCGATAGCAGTGCGCGATATTTATCGGTCATTGATTTTTTTTATACTTAATTTTATTATAAAAATACGAGTTGACGACTTTGACGAACTTGTTGGAAATTAAACAATTGTCGCAAAAAGCCAAAGAAACAAATATACTACTGAGAAGTAGAAGTATTTATGCAATAAAAAACCAAAAACCCCAATATAAATTATAATAAAAACAATTTTTGGAACTTCACTATCATCAGACGTCACGTCACAACTCTCCACAAATGTTATTCTTGCGTTATCGATGCAATGAGTCATGGAATGTCGTATACAGCAATCTATATATAGACTCGAATATGCATGAGATTTATCAATATACTACCAATAATCCACGCACATCAAATAATATATACGTTCGATAATTAGTTTAATTTAACCTTGTTTTTTAGTTCTCCAATAAAATAGCACTTAATGGGCCTGAAAAAATACCTGGCCTCCCGTTTTTAAATGTCCCGCTTTCGACAATCGAGACTCAAGACTCCAGAGACAGAAGAGTGTAGAAATAGACACTCTTGAAGTCTTGACAGGCCACAGCATATTTTTATTTATTTGTGTTTTTAAAAAAAACAATTGTGCATAGCCCTCTATATAATATGCACCTTTTTTTATATAAAATATAATATGTATTTGAATTTCAAGTTGGGGTTCGGCCCATTCGGGGCGGGGCAAAGGACACCTGGCCCAAGAATTTTGTACCACGACTTAAAATCCAGGTCAGAAATCAAAAGGCTTTTTCTTCTCTAGCCACTCGACTACTACACTCTGGTAAATCCATACTACAGTTGCCGCTGTATTGTACCAGTTTCAGTTGGCCCAACACGCCGTTATGTTTATGTATTTTTATTAGTCACGCGAAATAAAAGTTGTGTGGGGGGTATTTATGGGAATAGTGGAATATGTGACAGGATGATGGTACATGGTAATAATATAAGTAAATTGGTGATGTCTAACCTCCCAATATACATATAGGATTCAACTGCGCAGATACACCCGCGAATAGATCAAAGAGCGATACCCTTTAGCGTATTAGAACTTGCAGACTAAAGTCTGTGGAGTTATAATTATAGTGCTGGCGAATTCTTGTTTTCTTACAAGTGGCTCTACCCTTCCCTCGATGTACTTGCGATGATGGGACAAAGCCCTATGATATATAAGAAGCTTTAGATTCGTGAGCGGTTCTCTCTACAATCCGGGAAATATCTAACCTTGGTCAGCTTTATAAGGGAACATCAACTTTATAAGCACGCCCACACAATCATATATACATATATAAGTATATGTATATTATAAGCGGGCGATTAGTACATACACTTTTATATACATTATGAGTGAAGGAAATCTCACATCAACGCCACCTGCCACGGCAGCCAGTGCACGCAGCGAGTTTGATGATAGCAGGAATACAAGTAATCCGTCCCCTAATTCAAATAATGGCTTCAACAACAACAACCCAGCTCAGTACAACAGTAGTATTGCTATCAACAATATGATCAGCAATGGACAGAATAACATGCCCAGTAGCTTACAGCCGGGACAGCAGAGCAATGCATCTGTTCCGCCATTGGATGCAGCAAGCAATACATCACTCACACAGGGAATGGTATCCAACACGCCCCATGGCATGCTTAACAACACACCACAGACACAGGGCATTCCCCTACATTCAGTACAAGGGATGCCAACCAACTCGGCACAGGGTCTGATTAATAGGGCTCCTATGCCGAATACTATGAACAACACACAAATGCCCAACAATACAATGTCGTCGGAAATGCCTAGTTTGAGCTCTAATCAAGGATTGGTGAAAGTGAATTCTGGTGGGTTAAACGGCACTGGTACGGGTGGCCCAGTGCCTGTAGAGTTAAGAAAAGACAAACGTGCGCATCATACAGCGTTGGAAAGGAAGCGGAGGGATCACATCAAAGGTAAATAGTTTTTTTCTAAAGTTGACAAAATGCATAGAGGTGTATATGTCATAGTAGGGGTATGTATTTATTCCACTGTGTCTTTGGATGACACTCGGTGCTTTGTACGGACTTCAATATTTCATGCAGGTCTACATACAGACATTCATACATGCATACGTAAATAAATACAGAAGCATCACACACGCGCGCGCGCTCACATACATGTATACGTGTGTGTGTACGAGTATGCATATGCAGATTATATATATATATATATGCGCGTGTGTGTGTGTGTGTGTGTGTGTGTGTATACACGTGTGTGTGTATGTATGTATGTATGTATATATATATATATTTATATATATATATATATTGTATGTATGTATGTATGTATGTATGTATGTGTATGTATGTTTTTACATACATTCATACACTTTCACCTTCCATAGATATTTTTTATGTTCATGTATATATATTCATTGATATTCATTTTCCAGATTCAAAAATATCGTGCAAAACTGAACAGTTATCCACTCAGTGGCAACTTGCATGGCCTAAATAACGTACTCAAGTATTGATGGACGTAGATCTTTTCTTTGTGCATAATCATGGAGGAAACAATGCCAGATTTTTTAGTAATATATATATATGTGTGTGCGTGTGTGTGTGTGTGTGTATATTATGTATGTATGTATGTATGTATATATATGTGTGTGTTTGTGTATACGTTCATAAAATTGTACTTTCCATAGACCTTTTTTTTATGTCAGTGTATTTACATTTGAGCATATATGTATAAATATGATGTATAACTGTTCATTGATATTCATTTTCCAGATTCAAACATATTGTGAATAACTGAACAATTGTCCACTCAGTGGCAACTTGCATGGCCTAAATAATGTACTCAGGTATTGATATATATATAGTACTCTTTGTGAAAACATATCATGGAAGAATCAATACCATATTTTTCAGACCCATATTATACCTCCACAGAGCAGTTATTGATGAAGATATCTTAGAAATGGCACACATATATACATACTCATATACAGAAATACACCACATGTATATTAAGATCTATATATATGTGTATCTGTGTCTGTGTCTATGTCTGTATGTGTCTGTCTTTGTCTGTTTCTGTGTCTGTGTATTGTGGTTATATAATAGATGTATGTGTATTTCTGCATGTAGGTATTTATATGTGGACTTATCTTCATAGTAGGAGACATTTGAACACACGTCCACTGAATATGGCAGTTGACTCAATTGTCAGAATTTTTTACCCATTATACAATCGTAAACTTTTAACAGACACGTTGATACGTAGATGTATGTGTAAATTCGATAATCAATGTAGATCTGCATGTATATGCGTATTCCAATTCGATATGTGTGTACGCGCATATATATATGTGTTTGTGTGTATATATATTTGTTTAAAAAGGTATTTTATGTTTATATAGACGTATAATCATGGTTATATATATATATATATATGTGTGTGTGTGTGTGTGATTTTCATTTACGATTGCCTGTTCTATTGTGATTTCTCATGTTCGTGCACGCTGCAAATAAAGTTATGCTTGCTATTTTAAGATAAGTTGAATCAAGTTCAAATAAAAACTGGTTTGTCGTTTTTGTTGTTTTACTCCGTGCGTATTGCCTGCTTGTGATGTATCTCTACTATCGTAGCCAGCATTAAATTGCTATATGAAATGTAGCTCCTACGCAGATGTTTTCTTCATACTTGATCATTTTCTTCATTATGTGTTGCCAAATTGTTAAATAAAATTGTACTTGGCAAATTGCAGACAAATTTGCAGTGCTGCACAAAGAGGTACCGGGCTTGCAGGAGAACGATAAGGTGTCGAGGTCGAACATACTCACAAAAGCGACTGACTACATCATTGTGAGTTCAGTTTTTCATGGTTTGTGGTGCGTATTGATGGTGGTGGTGTCGCATTCGTGGATAAGTATTCATCTAAAGCGACTCTTTATATGATTATGCTACCATACCCCTGGGTTTATGTGTGGTGGGGTGATGTTCCTCATGTACACAACGGCTTTAATCTAAATGACTGGCTGCATTGTGTTAACTTAAATTTCGCATGTCTATTATATTGTTGGTGTTTTCGGCCTTTTGTATGATTCATCAGAGCACACACATCTGACTATAAGCTGTAAATTCGTTCTTCAATCATGTGGCATTGATTCGTATGCACCCGACCACTTTACTTATGTAAGTGTAGTATTATCCCTTTTGTATCAGGTTGGATAAACCTGTAAGGCAAAGTCCTGTCGTGACTAGATGTTTTATCCATTTGATCTGCGTGCTTCTGCACTTTACGTACATCTGTATACGTTTCTGTGCAATTTTTATTGTGGTTAGACGTACACAGCATATATATATATATATTATACATATATATATATATAATGATTTTGTTGATTGTACTCTGGTGTTCGACGTCACTCTTTATGGCCTGTTTCTGTTCTCCCACTACTCTCACCCGTCTTTTAAGTTTTAATGTCATCCAGTTTAAAACATGTATTTATGGTAGGTCGGGCTGGTAAGGGATTCAGGAAATTTATGCTGTTTTAGGAAAGGTCTGCTGCACGCTATACAATTGACCTATTCTTTGAGCCAGAGCAATTGAGTACAAAACTGTCGCTTTAGTCCGTGATCTACAGGATAGTTCTTTTAGTGTTCAATACCTGTTCTCACATTGCAAATGCTGATATTGTACCGTTTGGTGGTTTTACCATTGTATTTTGAGTTGTATCGATAACAATGTATCTACTTTCTGTCTCAGTTTCGTCTCAATACTTTCTTTTTATCGAATAAGTATTAGTAGTGAAATCTAATAAAAAAAGTTATGCTTATAAACCACATTGTTCGATGTAAGGACAGGGAACGATTGTGTATCCGTATCTCAAACTTATTTCTCATACATGCCTAGGATCTGTCAAAGAAGAACGATGAGTACCATGATGAAGTAGAGAGATTGAGGCGACAGAATCTTATCCTTCAGCAACAGATAGATTCTCTAGAAACGGGGAAGATCCAGGGAATCGAACACGAGCCCGACCACTATGATGGTATAAGTGGTATGAACGACCAGATGAGCGATCTCAACTACGGTACAAGTGAACCGGGTATCAGACCACTCAACGAACCTACGCTCAATGATATCCTATAATATACCGGACATGGGGTACAACAGGCTGTCAGTCGAGAAAGGGCTTAAGCGGTTGAATCGTTTGGGTCCTGGAATCGATGAGGTGCGGATGAAACAGGACAGAACGATATTTGACAGAAAATTGGGCTTGTATGCGTATGTGTTTCACGGAAATATACATTCAATAAAAACGGCGTATCCGCTTAAGCAGGTGTTGCAGTTGTTAGTGCACGGATATGTGAACTAGAGTGATTTCCGACGCGATTCACGATTGGGCATGTGCTCACACCAATTCTGTAGACCCACAAACGGTCTCTTCAGCACGAAAAAAATGGTACTGGTTGCCCAATAGTCGAATATGCTTCCAATCAATGGGAATGTCACAATTCAAACTGATATGAACTTAATCACTGAAAGAACAATTATACAAGAGATTCATTGTCGATATGCGATTTGTATTTCGGTCTTGCCTGTGGATAGGTGAATTGTTCCAATACATACGAACGTGAATACACATTTGGTGATATGCTATTGCAAAACTGCTATGTAGCTGGCAATGTTAAGTTATAAGTAACCACTACCTTATATCACCGCGCCGCCTAGTGTCGAGCTATTGGAATTGATTTACGCTAAATGGTGAGAAACATTGCTGCGAATGTATTTCGGTCTTGCCTGTGGATAGGTGAATTGTTTCAATACATACGAACGTGAATACACATTTGGTGATATGCTATTGCAAAACTGCTATGAAGCTGGCAATGTTAAGTTATAAGTAACCACTACCGTATATCACCGCGCCGCCTAGTGCCGAGCTATTGGAATTGATTTACGCTAAATGGCGAGAAACATTGCTGCGAATTGTTGACGAGTCTTTTCAATCCTCGACCTACGCTGCGCATATTTCTTTAACTTTTAATTGTATATAATTGTATTGTTTGTGAACGGTACTCGTTTTCTCTTATTCTAAAATAGAGATGCGACAAACTGGAAACGAAGGTGACACACAACGAAATACTATTTCAAAGTATTATATAACACTATTTGGGTAAAAGGTCATATCCTCGATGGTCTAGTTGGTTAGGACGTGGTTCTCATAGTTCAAATTCGTTACGGCGAATCGCAAATGCGTCATTCCGAGGTCGCAAGTTCAAGTCTTGCTCGGGGAAATTTTTATTGAAGTGATTTTCATACAATATGGAAAAGGATTCGATATATCACTCTGGCCTGCCATGCTGTAGCATACACTTTGAGTTCTGCTATCGTCGCTTGTAAAAAAATTCGATATATCACTCTGGCCTGCCCTGCTGTAGCATACACTATGAGATCTGCTATCGTCGCTTGTACAAAATTGTATATAAAATAATGACACCAGTAGGATGCAAGTAGAGCTCGCGAATATTCACAACTAGAGTGAATATTTCAATCTCAGCTCTTTCTCAACAAGGCGTTCAGAAGTCAATTCTCGAACTCCTACAGCCCAAATACATTCTAAAATATATGTATATAAATATATATATATATAAAAAGTTTCCCCGAGCAAGACTTGAACTTGCGACCTCGGAATGACGCATTTGCGATTCGCCGTAACGAATGTGAACTATGAGAACCACGTCCTAACCAACTAGACCATCGAGGAGATATTAATGTGTACAATTTTCGCTATATATAATTAAATATTTTGTTTCTTTTACCTTCGCTTGCAACTTATCAATAGAATACATCGCGATTCGCTGTAGCTGTTTTAAACTATCAGAACCACATCCTAACTAACTAGACCATCGAGGACACGTCCGGTGTGCCGATAGTTAGTATATATAATTATATATTTGCTTCCCTTTGCCGCCAGTTCGTCGCATGTTTATTTAATAGACGAACGCTAGTATTATTCACCAACAAAGTAATTCTATGCATGTTCGGTTCCAGCAATTTTCACACTTCGTCGAACGCATACTATGGATTGACGAGAATTGCATTATTATGGTACTCTCAATGCAATGCAAACATTTATATAATATGTTTTAAATGCACCCTTGGCACGGGGTGTTGATGTGTTTTTTCCCCTGTATTTTGAGGGAGGAGACTACTAGCATCTGATTGCAACAACAACCCACGTGATTGTCACTTACTTCGAGAAAATATCAAATACTGATTTTGTGTCTCTATAGGAGAGAATCCCGATTTGATTGGCACATTAACAGTGAACACTTAGGGGCTTCCAGTTCCGCAGACGATTAGTTCTCTATAGCTATTCTGTCCTGTCACTTAGCGTGTTCTGCCGCAAAGTATGTGTTCCTGTATTTCTAATCTTCGTGAGCTATCCGTTTTTACAGTTCAACATATCTTTTGAATTCTTTGAATTCTCAATTGCAACCTCTGTGACAATAATGGGTCTATGAAATAGTAAATGAATTGGATGATATGTGTCGTGTCGACAGTACTGGTTTTGTTTCTATATAGTTTTAGTTGTATAGCAGATGGGCGCGCTGACATGACTGCCCAAATGTTCGCACTTGTGTGAGCCATCGGACCGTGGCTTATATACATGCAGTTGGGTAATGAATCTAATATTGGTCAGCAATCCAATCATTGTCGGTGCAGCTGCTTTTGCATCGATATGTAGAGATACACCATGAAAACTATAGGACGTAGCATATGGTCTCTGCGTCGAGAGCAGAGTCAAACGATATGTGTATGACTGTGGGTACTATTATGACCGATATCAAATCAAAGTACATACACCGTCGATCGTGTATATCGACATTGAGTAATGTGAAGAATCCTAACCCATTCTATATTTATCCGAAATGATACCTTACTATCAAGCATTTCGTGGTATGATTCTCGGATTGATAACAGGCCTACAGATGCAACTCGTATCAGCTGGTCACGCGGAGGGGTGGGGGGGGGGGTACAAAATGATCATTACAATAACTATTGGGTCGTCTACAATACGATGCAAGTGCATGAAATATAAGTGGTGATTTGGTTATATTTCGGTTTATAGCACACAGGCACGAGTTAAATATCCCAGCTGTATCTGTCACTGGAAATACTGATTCTGAAGATAATCTTTATGAGGATAATCGTTGTATCGTTGCAGCAAAATAGAATTGACTTATTCGGGTGACGCATCGTGTCAGACTAAAACAAACATGTATTGAACTTTTTAAGTTTGTCAGACTAAAAACTTATGTTTATCAATTCTACAAGTTGCTACCTGTCCGTTTATATGTAAAGCAAAGTCAATATACTTGATTGTACTTCAAAAACCGAAATAAAAGTCTTGAACAAATCGAATAGGTTAGCATAAAATTCCGGTTTACTTACTGCCAATTTGTTGTCAACTAAAGTTTAAAAACAGAGACCTATTGGAAGGGTTGACGTCATTACTATATACTTGGCCCCTATTGACCGCAACCGGGTCTTTGTTTAGTTTTTAGAAAGTGGTAATGCACTGTTTAAGCGCTATACGAATATCTGCCAACCATAAATAGTTTCATATTTATCATACTAGGAGTACTACTACCTAATACGCATTCGCGTATCTTATCTTTGACCGCTTTATATTTCCGGTCACACCTTTAGTATGTGCACGCGTACGCGTCATTAATTTCGGAAAAATCTAATACTTGGAAAAATGCTTTGCATTCTTATCTGCTTGAGGATAAATTTTATCTTTGTCCACCTGACTCTTGTGTAGCCATCTACTCCGATTCTTCTTGATACTTTTCAGGTAATCTGGAATTTCAAAATCTGCAGGCGTAAGTTGTGTACCTCAGTGTCGCTAAATAATTTTTTATAGTGTGTTATGCCAATAATAGATTCAATAACTCATATTTTTCTGAACTCGAATTGTTCAATTAATTTAGTATCACCAGCGTGCGACAGAGTTGTATCTGGCTGCTTGGTTTACTGGATCAACCCATGATAAAGACGCTTGATCCGTTGACATTGTTTGCATCATAAACAAGTAGCTGATTTCTCGTCGTGGACAAAAAACACGTAAGGTCCTATGAAGTAGGAGTACAACTTCCCTGTATCAAAGTACACTCTTTTGTATTTTCAATGTCACACTTTTTAAAGAATACTTGTTTTTTCTTTGGGACTATCGTTCTTGCGCTTTAATAATCTGTTTATCCCTTATAGTAGGACACGCGATTTAATCGCTCGAGCCACTTGAGTGACTATGCCTTTTCGGGTATCCCAACAACATGACGTCGTTACATTCTTCTTTTACCACGGAAGCAGTGTGAGAGTACCGCCAATTGCTGGGTCCGGTATTTCAATTATTTGATCCTGGATCCTATGTCAGGCGATAAGGCCAGTTGCTTACGTCGTTCGTAAGGGCGATACGTAGTAGAAACTCGAATTTTCCTGCGTCGAACTTCGGTTGCGTCTTGTGTCTGTGGCTTATACAGCCTTTATGTCTCTGTTTTTTATATACGCCAGACACGAGGTTAAAAACTCGCAGCCCTTGTCATTGTATGTAGTCACACCTGAGTAGATCTTAGTACATTGTTTAAGTCTGAATAAGTGAACTCATTCACGCTTGCTGTATTTACTACACAAGTCCCTATGTGAGACGAAATTCCTCTACCGATGGGTGATGTAAAAGTACCGATACCTGTGATTTTGGTCTCTTATCTACTAGGTTATGATGACATCGGCTGATTTATCATTATCTCTCATGGTCCGGTCATCCATCTATGGTACACTGTCCAAAGGCATGAGAACTGTAGATAGCCATGACCGGCAATTGTACGTAAGCATCTCTCCACCATTGTTTCAAATAGTTTGTTGCTCGCAGCATGATATAACTTATATAGTGAGGATATATCGAACATGTGAAACCTATACTATCCACCAATCCGCCTTATCCTTTCATCTGCGACCGTGTCAATGACGACGCCGCGCATCGGCCCATCTTTGAGTACCGCCTTAAGAGGTGCCGTACCATGGCATCAAATTCGGGTTTTCTCTCACCCCTTACATTTCATGCGCTACTTTCACAGAGCTTACGTAGATCAGACTTGACCAGGTTACGAATCGCTTAAGCGAACTGTAGAATAATACGTCAAGTTATGATACTATGTAATACAATCAAGTATATCAACATCTGACGTAGCAGTCGTAGCACTCATATCCGACTCTGTCTGGAATGTGAGTTCAGATACCCCTTGAGAAGGTACAGGTTACACAGCAGAGGT